ACGTCAGCAAAACGGCGAAAAAAACATATTGTGATGAATGGTCAGATAAGTTATGCTGTGTCTGTTTCGAAATTGTTAAAAACTGTCCTCCCCAACACACACCCCCTTATCCGCAGTTTTGCAAGTCAGCCTTGGTCCGCAGATATTACATGGAAAATTCTAGAAGCCAGTGTTTCATCAGTGTTAAATCGCGAGCTGTTCTGAATAGCGTGAGGGAACCAAATCTGCCCCGTCCCGCTCTGTCCCGCCCTGAGCGTGAGTCGCCCCTGCCCCCCGCGTGTCCGCGCTGCAGACGCTCCCGCCCGCGAGCCCCCGGGTCGGTCTGGGTCCTCGTGGCGTCACTGCACCTGTGTTCAGGTCGCCCTTATTTGACCTCCTGATGGCCCCAAAACACAAGAGCGGCGACGCTGGCAGTTCAGACACACCAAGGAGAAGCCGGACCTGCCTCCTGTGGCTGAAGCAGGGCGTACAGGAGGAAACGTGCCCTGTGTGGGGTCCGGGCACTCCCTGGGGGCTGCGGGACGTGTCCCAGAAAAGACTACACAATGTAACATTAGGGAGGAAATAGAAACTGCCAATCTGTGTATAACTTTCATTATTCAGATATAATTTACGTATGACATTGCACAAGTTGAAGTTGGGAAATGCACATCAAACCACCATGAGCTACCGCCCCACACACGTTACGGTGGCCGTCATCGAAAAGACACGAGACGAGTGTCAGTGAGGACGTGGATACAGGGGGCCCTCGTGCCCTGTTACTGGGGGGGATGTTGGCTCAGACACTACGGAAAAGTGTGGAGCCTCCTTGAAAAATTAAAAATAGAGCTGCCGTAAGATCCAGCAATTCCACTTCTGGCTATTTATCCAGAGAAAATGTAGAAAATATTTTGATCATGTAAAATATAAACGTATAGAAACAAGTCTGGAAGAAAACGCAGACTCGCGTGTTTCAAAAAGTAGGGAATGCTGCGAGGCAGCGTGATTCGTGATTCGGAATTTTAAGTTTCCTGTGCTTTGTATTTTTCAAGTCTAAGATGTTACTTTGTAACATCACATATTCTTAGATGCATTATCTTACAGTAACACGTCTACCTTATATATGAGAATGTGTGCATCTTACACAGTTAGAACTATGCACGATTCATCATTACGAGATGGCACGCGAGAAGATGATGTGTTCACAGGTTATGATAAGATCGAGGTGCCTCAAACAGCCAACCACCAAGACACTTAGCGGGTCGCGGAGTCGGACTCAGCCCTTGGCCTCTGTTTTCTTCCAGGAGAAAGATGTCACACCCGACCCAAAGCTGTTGGAGAAAGTGAGCGAGTGTGACCGGCGCCTGGCCATCGCAAGGCACCAGGAGCGCCCGCTGGCCCACCTGTCACCTGAACTGTCTGACATTTTCGACTTTTTCATTGCGCTCACCATCTGTAACACAGTGGTGGTCACGTCCCCCGATCAGCCACGGCAAAAGGCGAGTTCCGAGGTGTCCCCGTGAGCCCAGGCCGCCGTGGACGTGGCGGGCCCCCTACCGTCTTCCCGATGGCATGCTTGTCCCTTCCCACCTCTCAGGAGTAAGGGGCTACCGCGGGCAGGGCAGCTGGTTGGCCCTGCGGTGCCCGGGCCGTGTGGGGGAGGACAGATGCCCTCTGAAGTCGGGACGGCAGGGGCAGGGGCCGGATGGCGCCCGCCTGCGCGACCCACCTGGAGCCCCGTGCTCCCAGGCTCACCGAAGACAGGACAGCAGGGGCTGGGCCCAGACGCTGGCCGCGATCCTTGTCCTCACTGCTTAGCTGAGCAGCTTCCATCCCCTCCCCGTGCCCCAGGCACCTGGGGACGGCTCCGCGGGGTTGGGCACAGGTGAAGGCGTTGAGGTGGACCCTGCCAGGGAGGAGGGGTCGGGTCCACTGGGGGGCCCGGGCGGGAGCAGAGCGTGCACAGGCGGGTGCGTTTGGGGCAATGGTGTGGTTCTCTCTGGGGACGGTAAGGGCTCTGTGCAGAGGGGTGCCTGTCACCCCGGCTGCTCAGAGAGCCCACGGGTGGGCCAGGAGCCACGTGGGGGAAGGGCGCCTAAGCACGGAGGGCCACCCTGCATCCAAGCAGCTCTGCCGGGTGAAAATGACCGTGCTCTAGCCTGGACGCGCCCTGCCCCTGCCCCCTAGACCCTCCCCACCCCTGGGTCAGCCCGATCCGGGGGCCCACTGGGAGCCCTGGCCAGGTGATGTGGGGAACAGGTCTCTGTCGCATCTGAGGCAGCAGCGCCGCCCTGTGACCTCCCACCTCGGCACGGCCTGCATAGGTCCTGAGGTGACAGCCTCAGCACTCAGAGGCACAGGCTTGTGCCACCAGCCCTGGGCGAGGGCCGCTTCCTGCCCGGTGTCTCTTGCTGTCTGGCCTCTGGGCTCCTCCGTGCCTCCGTGGTCAGCCCCTCTGGCGGGTGTGTCTGGTTTCTAGGTGGACCCTGTGTGGCAGACCCGGGCATTGTGGCACTTAGTGATGCTCACACAGGCAGGGAGTTCCGTGGAGGGACAGAACACTCAGCCACACACCTTCACGAGATGAGCTTGTCTCTTGATGCCTTTCTGCCCCCACGTGTCGGGGCACCCCGCCTTCAAGGGCGTGTGGAGCCAGCAGGAGCTCTTGTGTGGTTGGCTGTCTCGCCGGCCTAGATAGGTGACAGATTTATTTAAAGTCATCCAAGGGCCAAAGAACAAGCATCCTTGTCACAACTGGTCCTGTGTGCCTTGCTTTGCCAAATACCTGCCTTTTCTGGAGGCTGTTGCCATGATTCAGAGCTTTAGACACGGGGGCAAATCACGGAGATTGAAGGGGACCTGTAATTCGGTGTTTGGTCATTTGGGCATTTGCTCTAAACCCGTCATCTAGCAGAAAATTAAAACGGTGCGCTGCAGCCGCGTCGGTGGACAGCACGCACGTCAGCGCCGTGGCACCATTGCGGGGCTTCGACAGTTGCATGTGACTCGCTTTGTTTTCGTTTCTCCTTAAACATAAGCATTTACTGACTTTTTCAGAAGTGTTTAGTGATTTAGATTCTGACTTTGTCTGTCTTTCACTTGTTTAGAACAATTCTTCGGGATTTGGGAATGTTATTTGTAGATTTAAACATTTTATAGACAACGTTCAGACGAACGTGTAAACTGGCCTTTTTTCAAGGGGCTTCATTCAAGGGGAGGGGGCTGGATTTTGTGACAAGCAATGACAAGCCACTCCTCTGATCCTTCTCTGCAAAGCACTGGCTGAGGGGCCAGCCAGCAGAGGGGGCAGTCTGAGAGCCTGCGGGCTCCCCCAGCCACCGACTCCATTGAGTCAGTCCAGGGCCTCAGTTGTGGCTACCCTGGTGACATATCCTAAAAGAATGCGTGTGGCACAACTTTCCTTAAGTGATGGCCTCAGGACAGATTCCAGGGGCAGGGGAATGGAGGCGGGGTGGGGCCTGGCTCACCCGTGTGCCCCCTGCTGGCTCACCTGTGTCCCCCTGCTGGCTCACCTGTGTGCCCCCTGCTGGCTCACCTGTGTCCTGCCTGCTTCCCCGCAGGTGAGGGTGAGGTTCGAGCTGAAGTCCCCCGTGAAGACCATAGAGGACTTCCTCCGCAAGTTCTCCCCCAGCCGCCTGACCTCGGGCTGCCCCAGCATCTCGAACCTGGCCGCGGCCAAGGCCACGCACAGGTCAGGCTCCAGCTCCCTGTCCACCGACGGCACGCTGCTCAGGCTAGAGGACAGGCTGGGCCAGCCGGCCCCGGCCATCGCCAGCAACGGCTACAGCGGCGGGGCG